GAGAAAAGTTTAGGCCCCGCACACATCTGAAAATGTATAGGCCAATTAATTATGCTTTTGTTTTCGAAATAACATCGAATTTTAGTGGCTTTGGCTACATTTTGGGCTCTTCATTCCCTCCATCCGTTTGGCGGTTTGTTGTGCGACCACTGGGCTGCACTAAGGAGCGCTCGGAGAACTTTTTTGGGGGCAAAATTCGTTTTCTCGGCCGCTGTTGGATGGTTTAAGAAACAAAAAGCTTGAGTACAATCAGAAATACTGTGACGTCTCGAGATACAAACACCATATCCAAGATACAGACTTACCGTGGCTAAAATTACTTTGTCAAGTGCCGTGAAGAAAATGCAGCCTACTCTGTGTCGCGTTCCATGCGTTCAAGTTTTAGAACTAGAGCTTGTGTTACACCTTTTGTTTTGGACTGATTATTATAAAAATAGCTGTTATTAAAGCAGTACCATGTTCTGGTGACGTGCATAGCATCTAAGCCGAAGATAGGGTTTCATTAGTCAGTTTGAATCTCCCGTTAACCCCGCCTCGCCAGATTTGCTTTGGCCACCCTTTTTGGCCCGAGAAACTCTTTTTAGCGAAACGTACGCCAGGGGTAAAGGTTACATAATATATATCTCATTACAAAAATAGAAGTGATGCAGAAAACAACGAATATTTATTGCTCTATAATTTTTAATGGGCAAGCCGCAGAAAAAAAAGAATAGAAACTGCAACATAGGTAAGGTTTTCAGATACTTAAGGTGCAAGTCTTCAGTCACGCAGTTCAAGCGCGTGCGTTAAAATAACTGGATTCATTTCTTAAATTGATAGCTTTATGAGAGACACTTTCCTGAGATTTCATCCTCGCCCCTTGTCTTCGCGGCGCGCGCGGGGAAAATGAATAAACCTTTCTCTCCACTCTCGCCGCGAGGAAAGGGCAGTCGGGACTTCCCGCACGACCAACACCACCTAGAGCTGAAGGCCGCAGTGCTCCTCGGGTGACGTCACACGGGTCGGCTGGCGAGCGCCGCGGAAAAGAGCTGCGATGTAGGCGTCGCGCCTAGATTCACCGACGTAGAATGGCATTTTTTATTGACCCAAATGTTTGTTAATTGGTAAAACAAGATTTATAAATATCTATATGACTGGGAGACATATTTTGTTACAGGGGCAGCATATTAGGACGTTCAATTATTGTTATGATATGAAAGAACAAGGTAAACGACGTTTTGTGAGAGACGGGTTTTCGTTTTAGGCATCCAAATCTTGGGTGCTTTAATTATCTTTAAGAGTTTGAAGACACAAACAAAGAAAAAATAAATGCCCTGAAACGTTATTGTAAGTGATGGGACCCGCCAAAATGCATTACAGCAACAATCAAGTTGCTGTAATGAAAAAAAGATTATTTTAAAAATGTAGACTTTTGGAGCACGAAAAAATGTAATGTTTTCAAATGTACTTTTTACCAGAAGTAAGCATATGATAATAAAAACAAAACTGCGGGTGAACTGGGGAATGTTTTCTATAAGGTACTTAATCCGAAACTGAGACACGCAGACGAGAAATTAAACGCAGAAAAGACACACAAAAGAGGCAAAGACGCCTCCTAGATCGAAGTGTACAAGCTTTGATTTAACCGAGTGCAGGAAAACTTAGCAAACTTAAAGTATAATTTTCAGTAAGGGACACATGCAGCTGTGAACGCTTCATGCACACTACCCGCGTTCATTCACACTACGAATAGATGCTGTGAATATAAGTTCTCTTACATTTGAAAGCTTCATATTGTATATTCTCGTGTATCCATACTTTCGTCTTGTATCCATTTTGACACAATTCAAACACAAGCAACTTCGATGCCGCTCTGTAGCTTTCGCGACACTAAGACACAGCACATGTACGGCAATGTACGCAATATTAATGTAATGACAACTGTTGCAGTGAATATAAAATAATTGTTTAGACTTTAGGGTTTAACATTTTCTTTTCTTTGACTTGGAATTAGCCTCATAAGCTTTTCGTTCACCTTTCCACAATAGTTTTTCAGCACAATGTTCATGCTGCACCAGAACGAGTTCTTCAGCAAGAGCTCACTTGTGTGTCCTTCACATGCGTCGAAGTCAGAAGTCTCGTTGGTAGACAGCAGCTCCATTGTAAGCTCGCTGACGAACTGACTCTGGATCGGAACCTTAATAAACTCTTCCTGCATGGAGAGTTCTTGAGCAACAACGTAATTGTGTCATGGCACTGACGACGAACATAGTTGGATAAAGGAGTCCCCCTCGATCTAATTGCTTGACAAATGAATAGTTCTCCTGCGCAAGAGAAAATGGTGCCGTCTACTTCGGTAAGCGCCGCCCTGCATTTTTTACATTTCGGCTTTTTCAAAGCGGACTAAACTGTGTACCCTGCCACGGAGACTAGGACTGAGAGGGTCTAATTTATCGCTTGTGACACTGCCTCTCCTGTAACTATACTATGTTGCAGCTGGGCCGTGGCGTGTCTACTCGTTTTTCAAGCTGCTTCCATCGCTCGTCTTCACACGAGGCTGTCGGCAACGTACTCTGCAGTCGCAGCTTATTTTCACCTTCATAAAGCTGCGTTATAGATATGTGATATTGCGAGCCAGTCAGCTGCCTGTACTTCCCGAAACGGTCTTCCCAGCTTTCAGCCTGAATCTTTCCCAGCAGGACGTAGTTCAGCCCGAGCTCAGTGAAGCAGTATTCGGTGATCTGTACAATTGCGCATGCTGTTTGACGGAGTGCTTCCTGAGTCTGCTTAGTTAGCGTGCCACTGGTGAGGTTCTCGCTCTCTCATGCGTCAAGCCAGGCGTCCAGCCAGTCAAAAAGACTGCACGAAAAATTCACATTGGGATCGCCCTCTGCAGAAGTCACTGGTTCTTGAAAGTCGTCTCTGAGTCGCGTTCCTTTGTTCGGCGTCCATGGTAAAATTTCATTCAGATTTCGAGACCTCGACGATTTCATTGATTCCTTTAATAATATGCGCCACAGATGTAAGAACAAGAAGAGGACATTGAGCGAAGGCTACAGGCTCCTGCCCGTGGTTTTGAAAACGGGAGCTTGCGCTACAAAGATACGTTTCTAAAATTAAAAGGGAGAGCTAGCCTGTGCTTGTCGCATTGGGTGCCACGTCAGCGTGAAATTCAACGAAATAGACTCAATAGTTAAAAAAAGAAGAAAAAAAAAACAATGTGAAAAGATATAAAAGTTCTCACCCTGGTATACGTCGATAGAACCAGTTTTTTTCGAGGAATCGCCCGCACTCATACTTTTCGCAGTTCTTCGCCCTTCGGGAACTTAAACACAGACACTTTCTTGGGCGGCGTTTCATAGCTGCCGTGGCACCCAGGGACAGAGCATTTATGAGACATGGCTAGCCGTAAGCCGCCCGTAACTTGACAACCACCACCACGCGTAAACCGCCACGCACACCAAACACAAAAGACAAACGAGAAGAGACGGTTAGAGCGGTTCGCGTACTCGCCGCGAGACTTGCGCAATCCGCCGCGCGTAAAGGAGGCAAAAATTGCCCATGGTGCAACTGCCCAGGGAGGACACTGGGCTCAGAGAAAGCTAAAAACAAAAACGTCCTCGGGAAAACGCATATAAAAAGCATGTGTTGAGGAGAAGCCTTCCTCTTAGGTCGGCCCACTCGTCGTGAATCTATGACGTTACAGCTCAGAGCGCTGCGGCCTTTGCTCTAGGTGGTGTTGGCACGACGTGCCGCACGCAGAGGGCGATGAGGGCAGCTAGGTGTCCCGCCAAGAATGGTGCAACGAAGGGAGGTTCATCGCGTCGTCTGATCCAAAGACTTGTTTTCCAACATCTCTCGCGCTATACGAAATCCCACTGCGGCAGTATCCAGTTGCCACGCGTGATGTTGGATGGTTTAAGAAACTTCCACCGCGCTACTCACTTGACGGATCACAGGTGGCAGCATCCACGACGCCAAACACGACAGCTCGGAGAATTGACCACACTGCACCTGCGTCCCCAGGTACGTGACAGCGCCATTCCACCCGCATTGCGCGACCGTGCTGCAGCTCCTGCTTTGGTTTCTTCCCAGATTGTGGGCGACAAATGCGGTTGTTTCATCAAATCTACAGGTGGCTATATTCGGGTTGCGACTCGCGAGCAAGAACGTGTTTTGTGCAAGGCTAATTCGCCACTCGAAATGTCAGGGACACATAACTTAGATAGCGCAAGAAATGGCTAGAGTTTACTCGTTCCATGATAGCTTTTTCAGTAAAAAACTGGAATGTAACAACAACAGTAACGTCAATACTTTCATCGTTACTCCAGAAAAACTAATAAAAGTACAGTTACGAGTTACACTTAAAAAAATAAAATTATTCGTTACCGATAAAGGTTATCAAAAAGTAACGAAGGTACTGTATTGCGTTACAAGAGGCGCATTACTACCCGAAACTTGGTTAAATCAATACAACTCAAAAATCAATGCATGCGTCACCTCCCTTCCCGCCCTCATCCCATACGTCATACCAACTGAATCCAAGCGCCGCGCCGCCTTAATGCGCCGAGGCGTTGATGTCGAAGAAAGTTGGGGGTGGCCGTCGAAAAAACGATTGTGTTTATATTGTGGTTTATATTAAAAATACCTTGTCAACTGATTTCATATCGATCTTATTCGGATTGGATACTGCAGCGAGCGTGAAAGGTTTTCAACAGGCCTCCTTCTGTTGCTCTCCATGATTAAATAACTCCCTTACATAAACGACATCCACACAATGAGGTCTGTTCAAAACAGCCGACAGCAAATCTTTTAATTCCCCATAAGAAAATATTGGCTTCGCCAATATTAGGTCACCACGAAACACGCATAAAAAGAGGCTAGTTTATTCTATACGGAACGAATTCGTAGATTGTTCCCTTTCCTCTGTGTGAGAAGAATTCGCTCTCGCTTTTCACCGAGAAAACTCGGGCTGTCGTATACAGCCAGAGCACTGCTGAACTGTGCGGGCAAAGAGCGTGATGGACCGTAATTTGCTTTTGCTTTGCATCATCTTAACATACAGGACATCAGAATGTTGGAGCCACTCTCCCATTGCTTTAAACACTAACATTAATGTTGACCTTGTCTGCGTGAGGGAGACACACGGCACCCACTGGATCCCTTCCTACTTCCGCAGAAACTTCAAGACTCGAAATTGGTGCGGCAACTGGCCCCAGTACTTCGACCTCCTAAACGCAAGTGCGGTCTACAATCAAGAAACGTTGGTCGTGTTGCCGAGTTACATTCTGAAGCGAGGCATTCTGCGTTTGATCACTTCGAAGATTTATACCTTTCCTCTGACCACGTGGATCATTATCGCCAATCACCGGAATCCTCTCGAGGACGCGGCATCATCCCATGAACTTTTCTGCAGAGCCGTCGTCGTCTGGCAACATACCGCCTCCATCGCTAAAGATCGCTTTTGGAACTGCAAGTCACGGCGCACAGTTGGCAAAAGGAAACTTCTGGGGGACCTTTTGCTAAAAATGAAGCGATCTTCCAAATGGACTAGATTATCCCCGAGGACACTGAAGGTAGGATGCCCGTCTGACGGTGGACCGAACGCCACGTGTAGGTATGATTCCCTGACTGTCGTCAGGAGTACTCTGCAGGTCTTGAACATCAGCTACGAGATGGTCAAAGTCGGAGATCACAACTGGATGTATAACCTTTTGTGGAAGCGTATCGACGTCTTGGACGCGAACATTATCTTCTCGGAGTACCGCCGATCTCACATCTTCTATCCTGCCTTCCTGTTCGACGATCAGGCGGTGTACTACGTCGGAGGAAAGGCCACCTGGAAGAACGGCATGCTTCTGAATTCCTCTCTCGCCGAGTTTCTAGCTGCACTCTTGGCCGCCGCGGTCATGTGCCTCGCGTGCTTTTGCTTCATCAACTATCTCGACCGTAGGCCCCTACGATCTGACATCGGAGCCACCGGTATGGTTCTCGTGGCATCAGTGCTCTCCTTCCCTTACCCCGTTCCAACTTCCTTTGAGAGATCAAATTTCGGTCGCACTGTCCTCTTTTACTGGATACTGGGTGGCACGTCGTTAGCGATATTCTTTCAGAGCCTCTTGACGTCGAGCGCTAGCCACGGCGTCTTCTGGGAAGCGGACGACACGCAAGAAAAGTTGGTCCCGAATCTTGTGGCTGGAACTGTGTCGGTGTGCGTGCAACGGCCCTTCATCCACGCGTCCCTGCTCGAGCAGAGAGTGAACAACTCGGACTTCCTGGGACACATGGCAAGGGCCTTCAGGCGCAACCCGACCATTGTGGCAACCGCCGATGAATGCCTCGACCGCGCGGTAAGAAGGACCCACGTGTTTTTCACGCACGTACGCTGGCCCAGTGAGCTACAGAAGTACGGGAGGAAGATCGTTCGCGGAAAAGAGACCATGGTGCCCTCGTTCGGCAGCACTCCCGTCAGGAAGGACTTCCCGCTGAGGCACGAGTTCGCAGCGGTGTATCGAAGGCTTGATGAGACCGGGCTCAGGTCGTCCCAAACAAAAGATGGGGGATGGAAGCGGTCCACAGCCGAAGAGTCGGCGGTTCCTTTGGATGTGCGTCGATTCATCATCTTGTACCTGGCCGGGTGCATCGCTGCGACAATGGTTTTCGCGCTTGAGTGGTTGACGTCGCTGACCTACTTTTGATGGGGTGTTGTCGGATGCTATTTATTTGTTTACTTGTTATGTAGGCGCAGCATCTTTTTCGGCGTTACATTACTAAGGAATTTACAACAAAAAAAATCTGACGGTATTCGAGTCGAAATATAGTGGAAAACACTATCCCCAGGAACAACTTTCTGTGGCAACGGAAGCAAAAGTAGACGCGTGCGTGCCCAACGGCCGCTTAACATTGCGCACGTGCACTCTTTCTGTCTTCGGAAATGCCACTGAAAGTTGTGCCCAAACACCGGCTACAATGTTGCAAACGAAAGTTAACCAAAGCTTGAATATTTGTTTCAGAAATAGACCAAGATCTGACTTTTTCAGTTAAAAATTAACGGCCAGATAAAGGGGGCTAAAATCGTTTGTGAACAAAAAGTAAATATTATAAACCAGATAAATCATATCGCGGTGCGTATGCCTTGCTTTGAGCTGCTATCACTTGATTTCGTCACTTGATGCCACGGCGCATGTCACATTCCCACACTGAAAAAAAAAAACTTAACCAGAATCAAAGGTTTTGATTTACAATTTTACTTTCATGACCTTATAGTTAAACAAGTGAATGTTTCGTAGGCAAAATAGGTTGATAGAGATGCCTTCCTGCGTCAGTTTTGTAAAATAATATGCTTAGCAAATTGGTTTTGTAAAACGAACTGCTATTGGCTAGTCTTGCATATTAGCCCGCGCACTTTGTGAAGTGATCAACACGCAAGGATACATCATTCTTTAAAAAAACATAAAAAAACACAGAAAGGTTTCACGGGAAATACAAGTTTGTGAATGGTGTTTTCTGTGGTATAGCATCAAACGACACTTTTCTCGGTGGTGCTGGGATGCATCCCACTTTAACATTTGTTTGGAAAGCGTCACCTTAATCTACCTCTTCTTGCAAGGCTTTGCTAAAGCATAAGAAATATCTGCGCATTCTCTAGTTCCCGTTTGTCAATGTTAGTCGAAAAATCCCACACGATGCGTGTAGTATATTTTTGACAGGGTACTCATTTGAACTGCAGGACAGTTCCCGGTGACCAGGCTCTTTCAATGATCGTTGACCGGTTGGTTCTCTTGAACGTTTATCTGGTGTGCACGCAAATAACTGAAAGATGTCTTTTCTTTCGTTCTTTTTTTTTTTGTGGGGAGAGGAGTAGACAGGGCGAAGGTAAAAGGGGGGGGGGGGGGGGGGGAGAGAACGAATTCGAGAAATGTTTAATTCCCTTTTTTCATCGTAATACTTGTCGTATTTAAGTTAATTTTACTAGTTCCTCAAACCCAACAAAATGTGTCTGTGGTCTTCTTATGATAGTCGAATGAAGTCAAAATAAATATTTTCATTGTTTCTAAGTATTGTTAAACTTGTAGTCACCATCATTGTTCGTGCGTAGGGAAGCTTCTCGTCACAGTAAGCAGGGGACTGTAAAGAATGGCTTTAGCAGTGTAATTGTTTCCACCTCCTATTTTTAGCCGTCCTTTTGCGTACTCTATACAAAATGCACACAAAAATACACTAAACCAATGGCATTAGTCGGTGTATATCACTGTAGTACTGTTCGTGTGTCTTTTTCCGAATAATGCAATAAATAATTTATGAAAACAATTCAGTATTCTTTTTTTTTTATCTTATATTAACAGGACTACAGCAAAACCTACAAGCACTAGCGAGTATTGGTAAGTAATCCTTCTTAGCCCCGGTGCGGCACTTGGCTGCTTAATTATATTATTTCAATGATTATATTTTCTAATCTTCGGCAAAGTGCAATCGCCACAATGCGGCGGTGCATTTGTCAGTAATCGTGCTCTAATGATACGCACTAGGCACAAGTCACTCCGAAATTACCCGCTAGGTCTGTGAATGTTTTAAACTAGAATTACAACCTCAACTTATATTTATTTGTTGTTACAAAACATACAGAAGTAGGCGCATATTCATCAATAATCTAATAGCATTCTAGACATGTTTGAAAAAAAAATGTCAGATGATAGCAAAGGGATTAAAGAAAATCAAACGAAGGTCACAAGTTGAAACCGCGTCGCGTGTTTCCCTTTTTAGTAAATATCTCAGAGCTTAAGGGAAATTCCATGCGCAGAAGTATTTGTAATTTAACCAACTTTTAGATAGCAAGGCTGCGGTGTCGTCCAGGGTGTCCTGCAAAACAATTACAGGATTTCTTCACCGAAAAAAAATAAGCTACTAATCGCCAAGCGCCCATTCTAGCCCAAAGGTAGCGGTAGCGGTCGAAATCAGATGTAAAAGTTTAAGAAATAACCGTTATCTTATTCAGAAGGTATTCTCTAAGTAATCTTCTGAAACTTTCTATGGGAAAAAGAAAGCCGACGGAGCTCTCGAATGCATGAAGTTGAATCGCTTCAGTTACCGACAACGTACAAAAACGGGCCCACTGATAGGTACTGTCTGTATGTTAATTTAAATGCCATACCTCAAACAACTTAGACGAAAAAAAATACCAAGTTAGGGCATAATTACCGTAGATACATGTTTGGACATTTCTTCGAGGCTTATCTTTGAATAAGAATATTCACATCTTAAGACGGTACTTACCTAAGCTATACATAGATCATTCTCAAAAAGTTTAACATCTCTACGATAAATAGCTTCAACTAATGCGCGCTTCAAATATGGCACAAACGACAATCGTCAAAAAGCCGTCGTCCTTCCTAGTCCCTTCGGGAATTTATGTTTTTTTTTTTTTTTTTTTTTTAATTAAGCATGCCAGAACATTGAAATAAACGGCATTGTCTTTCGTAAGGAACGCAACACCGCATGTAAAAATTCGAGAAAAAAAATTACGAATTCACCTCACTACTTGAATTCAAATGAAATCGTCCGCCGGGCTTTCGAAGTTCGACGAACATCGAACTTTAACCCTAAAAGCTCGAAGTTCGTTGAACTTTTTACATCTTAGGATTCGAAAGTTCAAAAATTTTCGATCCTCTTGATAAATAAGTTCGAAAGTTCGAAAATTATCCAAATCCTTAGCGTATAAATTCGAAAGTTCGAAAAGCTTCGAACTTTTTAGTGCAAGAAAAATCTAAACTTCAAAAATCATCGAATTTTTTGTCTATCAAGTTCGAAAGTTCGACAAGCATCAAATTTTGCGGCGTAATAAGTTCGAAAGTTCGAAAAGAATCGAATTTTTTAGCGTGATAAGTTCGACGGTTCGAAAAGCGTCGACCTTCTTAGTTTAACAAGCTAGAAAATTCGACTTCCGTCGAATTTTACAATATAGAAAGGTCGAAAATTCGAAATCTTTTGAACCTTCCGAACCGCTTGATCGATAGTCGAAACTTTAGTTCGAAAAACGTTCGCGGCATCCTTATTTACAATATTGTTATCTCTTCTGGTGAAGGCTTTACATTCGTTGCAATCGTTTTCTTTTCGCGCACGAAACGGTGAATCCCAGAGAAAGTAAGAACGCAGAAATCCCCTTTATTTTAACAGTGTAAACACATTTGCAGGCGTGCGCCTGATGAAGCCTCCAAACCAAAACTCGCGTAGCGTGATTCGAGACTGCGCCGGCTACTGTCTAACCTTGTTGTCACACCACTTTCTGCAAGCAGACACTAGTATTGTCAGTAAACACACAAAAGCGACAACGATACAATTATCTTGTAGAATATCACCTCTTTAGCAAAACCTGCATTCATAGGCACTACATGTTGTATTTCAGTTAAGAAAGAAAATAAAACCTTTGTTAGTCAGAAAAAAAAACTAAATATCAACGTTAATTCTGTTAAAAGTGTATTTTTGCCGGATCTCTGCCGGCAAAAAAAACGGCTCCGCCGAATCCCAAGACTAGGCGCCGAATTTTCGATTCGGCAAAAGTTCGGCCCACCACTAGTAAAAGCATGCGACCGGGGGGGGGGGGGGGGGGGGGGCGGTCTGGTTTCCTTTCTCACTCAAAAACACATTATTCAAGATGTCCCAAGGCCTCAAACGAAATGACAAGAGGCCATTTCTGGGTCTAACAGGATTCTACGAAACTTGGTAGAAAACTATGCACGCCTACCAGTACCGTTCGTAGAACTAACCAAGAAGGGTGCCCGAAACGAACTTAAGTGGGGGCCGCAGAAGAAGCCTTCGAGCAGTTGAAGAACAGGTTGGGAGCGTCTCCCATTTTATTGGCACCGAACCCAGAAAGGGAGTTTGTGCTGAAATCTGACGGATCTGACGCCAGCCTGGAAGCAGTGATCGAACAAGAAAAGGACGGAATGCTTCATCCTGTAGTTTTCACAACTAGGAAATTGAGTAGTGCAGAGCGAAACTACGCAACAATAGAGAAAAAAAAATGCCTGGTGTTAATGTGGGCCGTAACTAGGTTCCGGCAGTACAAGACCATTAGCCATTAGAATTCATAAACAAAGCAAAGCACACCAATCGCAGAGTAATGAACTGGGGTATGAGTCTGCAGGATCACATCTTTCACGTGGAATATATGCAAGGTCAGAGACAACGCCGGGGCGAACTTTCTTGGCCGAGTGTAAGAAGCGAATCAGCTTTAAATTTATTTATTTGTTCTTAATATTTTTTTTTTTACTTGTGGAATTTGGTTCTGATTGAGCGCAGCGGCTGGGTCGATGAGGTGCAGGCGTAGTTACCCGAGTGTCCGCCGAGGCATGGATTGTTACGAGCCTAAGTCGAGCGCTCACAGAGTTCTCGTCTCCAATCTATGAGCCGCGCTCGACTGTCCTCAGGCGGGTGGCTTCAATCCCAAAATTACGTCATTAAGCTTTGCGAGGGTTAACATTAATCCTCGCAATTTCAGCGCGACATAGAAACTTTCGAATCAGTGGCGGTCCGTGCCAGTGTAATTGGGCCAAACTATAGGCCCAGAACGCCTCTACAAAATCATAAACATTCCAACCCGATATCGTTTCATGACCCCTTTAGCGGCTAATTTCACAATCTCATTGACTGCGCGTCAAAAACGTTTAAATAGGGCAGGACCCGGCTTGACGTTATACCC